AGCCCAATTTTTCCTAAGTCTAACTCTGCCTTTCTTAACATAAGTAAAATCTAAAACATCTGCTCTCCTATCGGATCATCAGATGGTCGACGCTTAATGTGACCAAACCATCTAAGATGACTTTCTCTAATTTTCTCTAACTCTAATTTTGTCTATCACAAGAGCTACACCAACCCTATCATGGATATATTCATTTCGCAATGTCTCTGTGTAAAGCCACTCATCCACCTAATCTTTCTCATCTCCGCAACACTTAACTTAGTATTATGCTTCTCTTGCTTCTCTTTTAAAGGTCAACATTCAGCGCCATAAAACATTGCAGGTCTCACCACTGTCTTATAAAATTTTCCTTTCAGTCTAAGCAGTAATTTTCTATCACACAAAAGGCCCGAAGCATTCCTCCACTACAAACAACCAAATTGAATTCTACTATTAACATGCCCATCGATATCACCATCGCTTTGAACAACAGACATGAGCTATCTAAATCGTTAACACATTTTAATAATTTGATCACCCAAAGTTAAACTTCTGTCACTAGAGCTACTACTACTAACATTACATTCCATGTATTCAGATTTAGTTCTATTCAAATGAAGTTCTTTATACTCCAATGTAAACCTCCATAATTCAAGTTTTTCTTGACAATTTTCTCTCGTCTTATCCACGAGAAAGATATCACCAACAAAAAGCATACACCAAGTACATCCACCTGTAAATGTCCAGTAAGATCATCCATAACTAAAGCAAAAATATATGGGCTTAAAGCCGATCCCTGATGTAATCCAACAGAAATAGGAAAATATTTGGTCAATCCTCCTTCAATTCGAACACAAGTAACAGCTCTAGTATACATATATTTAATGACTTGTATATGAGTCATATCAACACCTTTCTTCTTAAGAACTCTCCAAAAGATATCACTTGGAATCTTATCGTAAGCTTTTTCTAAATAAATAAAAATCAAATGTAAATACTCCTTATTAAATATGAACTTCTCCATCAAGTCTCTCAATAAATGTATAGCTTTCATAGTAGAGCACTAGTTACACAAGTAATGAAAAAATGCTAGAAATCACAAAGAGGCTCACATTGAACCCTTGCAAACCATAGAGCAAAAAGTCTACACGGGCAATAGAAAAAATGCTAGAAACTGCAAATAGAGCAAAACGAGAAATCACAAGAGCAAGTCACACAGGGCAAACATCGAACCACGTTGCCTATTAAATAACAACAATTGCATAGGGTAGAGAATGTCGTAGGAAGATGTGGGAGAGTGTTGCCCGAGCGGAGACCAGAGAGAAGGGAAGAAAGGAGGAGAGACTATGTCACCAGAATCGACGACGAGAGATAAGCTGGAGAGGAGAATCGAGCTAAGGCAACAGAGATATGCAAGAGAAGCATGACAAAAAAGGGACAAGCAAGACACAAACAAAAACAAGGAGTTGTGGGGTAATATGTCGCGAACAAAAAACGGGCCACAGGGTCAAATCCGAAGCCCTCATTTAGATGTTCTTATCCCGAAAAGCCACCACACCGCTCTTTCCAAATGCTCATTTCTATGTTCTCCAATCGCGCTGTAGCTAAAAAGCTACCCTAAGCGCACCCTTAAAACATAATGCAAATTTTTACAATTGAGCTAGTCTAGACTGATGTCAAATTAGAATTAACTGAGAAGGTTATAAAAGGAAATGAGTTGATCTTGTATGTTGTCATAGTGATGTGTGTAAGTTTTTTATTTCATTTAAATGAGAAAAGCATTATGAAATCCATCCTCAAAAGACTAAGGATAAAGTAGCTCTACTGCCTTACTAGTATCCATACAAAGGCCAACCACAGATTTATTACAAACTTGCCAATCAATATCCATACAACTAATCTGAGCTGCTAAATCCTCAAACATGTCTAGGAACTCTACCATATGTGTACATTACTTTGACAATTCACTAACTGTTCATTTAACATTTACATTTTATTATGATGATTTGGATAGTATTTTGACCTTAACATCTTTTTTCATTTCCACCCGTATCACAACTAAAATCTATAACATTTTTTTCATTTGCCAAAGCATTAGACCAATAAACTTTTGTGTGATCAATCAACTTCATTTTAGCAAATAAGACCCTTTGGTAATCATTCATTTCGTAGGACTCATCAGACTGACTAACACAGCCGATAAATTTATTGAGATTATGTACACAATGAAAAGTGAGACTTCTACTTTGATTGTTCTTTTGGGGTCATCAAAATTATTCACATTCGTTAGGTGCATTTCACTTTTAAGCACACTTTTATTGGTATAAGGAGTTCAACGAGATGCTCTTCCCTCAAGAGATTAAATATAAGAGGAATGCGCACAATCTAAAGCTTAAAATTTATCTAATTAAATTTGGCCAATGTGGTAACTAAAATGATTTATATTTTATACCCGTGTTCATCTAAAGTGTATTGCACTATGTATACTCTAGCTTCATGAACGTTTGCCTAAGCACTAAAGAATTCTACTGCAATAAACAAACTCTTAAATTATTTCATGGATGTTGTTTTTGTTAACTAACTATTAAGGGCGTTTAATGTGTGCAAATGATATAATAATGTAAGCAAATAAATTTTTGTTTAAATTGGATATAAAGCGGTGGGTGCTTATTGATTTTTAATGAAATGATAACGCTTAAACATTTGAATTTCCAAGCACATATGGTCGGCCAGCACAAAAACACAAGTGAACAATTTGAACTAGTCAAAACCAAAGTAGCTAGATTATATAAATGTGTCAACTTTTGGGACTGGTATAAGTTGCATATTTTAAAGAAAATTTTTATAGAAAATCACACAAATTAAGTCGTTAGATAATTCTTTGCAATGGCGACTTAAATGGCTAGGCTAAATATGTGGAGTTCACTATTAAAATTAAGATGATAGCGTATTGGAATTGCCAATAGGCAAAGCAAATATATCATCTCAAAATGAATACTAGTTCATTAGAAGGAAAATAAAATGTACAAAGTGAAGATTTACCCCTTACAAATTATATAGTTTCCTCTTTGAAAATAGTCCTTCCAAAGTGTTCCTTCACCATTACCTCGGGCTTTCTCGAAAATCATTTTGATAGAAAGTCTAAATAAATTATTGCATGGTTTAGGGTTGATGTAAAATGAAATCTTAATTAAGTTATATTATGGTCCAACTAGAGAATATATAGGTTATGACAAACACTCACATGTGTAACATCTTAGTTTTATTGTATTAATATGAAGAAAAACATTTAACATTTTGTCTACACATACCCAATTGGTTAGCTAATAAATTATGATAGATGACGAACCAATGATTAGTGGAATGAAAATCAGTTTCTTCAATAGTATGGGAAGAAGTTTCTATAGACTTTATAATGGGCAGCCTACTGAAATCCTATGTGAATTCAATTGCCACGGTGTTTATTGATAGAATTTTAAAATATGCCCATTTCTCTTCCTTAACAAGTCATTTCACACTACAATGGTGGTCACCGCATTTGTTTATGTATTTGTAAGTTGCATGCCTTTTCAAGGACGATTGAATAAGATATATATTCTGTATTTTATTTTATTTCATTTTTGAAATATTTGTTCAAAACAAGTAAAACAATTTTGAAATTATAACAATTATTAAAATCTAGAAAAAGATGAAGAAATAAGAGTGGTCAAATGAACATTGGAGCAACATCAAGCAACTTTGTGATGAATTCACAATTGAAATGGATAAAGTTTATGTTGTGGGCAGAGTTTTCCTAGAATACTGCTACCCACACTTGAACAAGAATGTGATAAATTCAAATGGTATATCTGAGACCTTTGCCAAACATCATCCCCTGCTAACCACAAAATCAAACATTAAAGTTATGGATGCTTGGTTACAAGATCATGAAATGAAATATGAAAAAAATTACAGGAGAAATTATAAAGAACTTAAAACCAGATAAAACAACTAAAATATAAAATGTGTCAAGAACAACAGTTGAAAGTGGGAGTTTTGGTTTGGGTAAATCTAAACTTATTGCCAAAATTTCGTAGTTAAATTAAGCATCATACTAGTTTATGCCTAAAATAGATCCAATTAGGTTTTCCAGATTTCCCATCTTAAGCCCTTCAGGGATGGCACCGTAACAACTTGCACTGGTGAATAAGGAAAAACAATTTAATATTGACCAACCACTACAGCTACTCACAAATCACAATTCTATCTTAGCTTGCCATTCTAAAAAAAAAGGGTATGAAGGCATGAAAATACATGTTTATATGAAAGACCTATCTTACTCGAAGATGCTTGTTGGATATTGGGTTAGATACCATGGGCCAAATTGAAGTAATTTTATCCTGATTATTTCAACCTCAAAAAAGGTTGTTGTGGGTGGGCAAAGTGCTTTGTGATCTAAATGAATGAAGGAATTTTAGTTCAAACATAAAAGCAGGACAGAACAAGACAATAACAAAATTTGCATTATTTAATTAGTAAAGGGTCAGCGGGAGGTACTTTGGCTGGTTGAATTGTTTATTAGTTAGTTACAAAGTTTAATTCTGCATTAGAAAGGGTTGTTCTGAACCCATACTACAAATAGAGATAGGAATCCCGAGTAAAAAGTGGTTGTCATTTGCCCTGATTTTTCCCCTGCGGGTTCTTCGCTACTTATCCCTCACTTCTCCGTTCTGTGCTTGTTTGATCTGTTTTATGGAGTTATGAGCAGCTCGAATTTCTCGGATAGAACACGGAACGTATCAGAACAAAAGAAGAAAGGGAAAAACATGTTAGTTTAATTTCTCACAATTCTGTCTCATCTTCTCACCACAAAATATATGAATAATAACAAGGGATCGAAACTACAAAAGAACCAGAGATTAATACTATAAAGAGTAGATTAAAAAAAATAAAGAATTAGTTCTTTCTGCTCAGATTTGGACGATGTGACGAAATGAACGGAATGAACAAGGGTTTGCATTGCGGTGAAAGATTTCAGCTACCATGGACATATCATCGATTTCGAGAAGAAGCGGCGAGATCGGCAGTGCATGCCCACCAAGAACTCTGGATTCACTAGAAAGCGGACGACTGATTTGCAAGCGGACGACCTTGTCCTATCCCCCTGCAACGTCGAATGTTGCCGTCTGTTTTTATTATTATTATTATTATTATTATTATTTTTATTATTATTATTATTATTATTATTATTAGATTTTACATAGCAAGCATCCAAAAATATTTAATATACTATTTTAACTGCCCCAACTTTAAATCAGTTAAAATAGTATATTCATTAACTTTCAATTCTTATTTTATAATCAATCATTAACTTCTGATTCACTCTTTTCGGGGTCGGTCCTTAAATTCCGGCTCTCTTTCGAGATTGATCATTAATTTTCAATTCTCATTTTAGAATCAGTCATTAACTTCTGATTCACTCTTTTCGAGGTCGGTCCTTAACTTCCGACTCTCTTTTGAGATTGATCACTAACTTTCAATTCTCATTTTAAGGTCAGCCCTTAACTTCTAATTTACTCTTTTAAAGGTCGGTCATTAACTTCCGACTCTCTTTTGAGATTGATTACTAACTTTTAATTCTCATTTTAGGGTCAGTCCTTAACTTCTGATTCACTCTTTTCAAGGTCGGTCCTTAACTCCCGACTCTTTTTTGGGATTGATCACTAACTTTCAATTCTTTTTTTGGAATCAGTTCTTAACTTCTGATTCATTTCCTTTCGAGGTTGGTCCCTAACTTCTAACTTCCGACTCTTTTTTGAGATTGATCATTAACTTTCAATTCTCATTTTGGAATCAGCCATTAACGTCTGATTCCTTTCCTTTCGAGGTCGGTTCTTAACTTCCGACTCTCTTTTGAGATTGATCATTAACTTTCATTTCTCATTTTGCAATCAGTCATTAACTTCTGATTCATTTCCCTTCAAGGTCGGTCCTTAACTTCTGACTCCCTCTTTTAAGATTGATCCTTAACTTTCAATTCTCATTTTGGAATCAGCCCTTAACTTCTGATTCCTTTCCCTTTGAGGTCGGTCCCTAACTTCCAACCCTCTTCTGAAATTAATACCTAAACTTCAATTCCCACTTCGGGGTCAGCACTTATCCTCTATGAACACCTGAAATCTGATAACTCAAAACCAACTCTCCAATCCCCAGCGAGAGTTCCTACTTCTTGACTTTGATCAAATATTCATCTGTTAATTCCCTAGCGTAAACAAATAACAAACACAATTCTACATCTTTTTCTATGTTTTTTGACTTAGGAGTCTGTTTGTTGATCTCATCGGTCAACGCCAATACGCGCAGTGTGCTTGCCCAGCACACCACATCTATTGGGGGTCCATTTGTTGACCTCACTTTTGGTTGAGGTCTAATTTTTCGTCTTTAGTAGCCTATGGTCTAGCCATAGGACTTTCCTGTTGACTATTCCTAGAAAACTAGAAAAGGAACCCTCACCATTAGAAATTCTAAACTCCTCTTTACTCAACTTGAAGTTCCACATAATGGTCATAACATCTAGCAATTAGTAGGTGCGGTCATCATGGGGGAACCCAAGGAGACTTCCCCAAAGGACTGCTTGACCTTAGGGTTGACTCAAGGTTAAGGCACTCACTTGCACTCACCTTCACCCATAATCACTCACAAATACAAACCCAAAATTTCTTGACTTTAATCCCTTAATCCTTTGGGAGACTCATGTAGATGGTCCCCTAAATCCTCTGGCCCTAGGCTAGGTTGTACCTAAGACCAGTACATAGAGGACCAAATGGGGTTTCCATTGGTCCATAGCTCATTTATGGTGGTTGGCACCCCAATTCTACCAAAAATACCCAACTTGGCCTTTTTACTCCTAAACTCCCTCAAATTACCTAAGTGCCCTTGAAACCCTAAATTTGGAAAAAATTCCCAAACTTACTTAAAATACTCAAATTTGTTCAAAAATCGTTTCAAACCTTTTGAAAACATCCAAATTACCCAAAATCACCAAAAAAAATTGCCGAATTACCAAAATGTCCCTCCTTAGCCCAAAATTTCAAAAATTCCCAAAAATTCCCAAAACCTTCCAAATATTCTCAATTTCATTTTTTTCAATGACCCAATTTGTCCAATTCGACCATTTTGACCAAAACCCCCGAATTGCCTTTAAAGGCCCAATTTCCCTAAATTCACTTCAAATGTCCATCAATTTGGTCTCAATTTCCCCCAATTTCAATTCTACACTTAAATTCACCTTCTATATGACCAATATAAACCAAATTCAAGCTCAATTGGCCCATTCTTTGAGCCCAATTTTGATATAAGTCAAACCCCCAATTTTGGCCCTATGACTTGGTTCCACCAAATTGAAACCCATGGCCTACTCCATTTGTCTCAGTTTGAATCCTAAACTCTTCATAACACTTCTAAAAATCAAAATTGATCTTCAATTGGCCTTGGTGAAGCCTAAATTTCATTTAATTTCAACTCAAATCCAAAAAATCCCCAATTTTGCCCTAAATTGGCCATGCTCAAAATTCCAACAAATTGATTGCCTTAGCCCCAAAATTTCCACTCCATTCCCTCATGAAAAATCTTCATAGCATCTCCCTTGATCATTTGGACATTTAACTGAGCCAAATTCCAAGTCTAACTCAACTTAAGAAATTGACCAAAATCTCAAAATCTTTCAAATTGAGCTTTCAATTGAACTCAAAATTACTTCAATCCTTCACCAAAAATATTCTTTACAATCATCTGCACAAATTTGATGAATAAATTGGGCTTAAACTCATGGCTAGGCTAACCCAAACCTAAGCTTTGGTCATTTGGACCCATATTGGACCCATGCACCAAAATTGGCTTAGCCACCTTAAAGCCACCAACTTTATGGCTCCACGACCACCAAACTCCTCCTAGGGACCAGGCTAAACCATGCAAAACCCACCAAAGCATGCTATGGACCAATGGATCCCCAAATTAAGGGATTTTAACCCATTTTTGGACCAAATTTGCAAAATCTCCCTCATCATCGCTAACCTTTAAGGGTAAATCATAATTAAGCTTCCCCCTGGCTCATCTGACTTCCTAGCCACCTCCCCTGGCCTTGCCGGTTGGCCTAGTGGCCGGAAAACACCAAAACCATGAGCCACCCCCAAAATTTTAAACCTAATTCAAACCTAGAGGCCACCTCTTCCCATTTGAAATTTAGAGCTTCTCTGCCCTCCACCTAAGCTTCACATTGCACCCAAATGGAGCCCATGACAGCCACCCTAAGCCAATTTTATTTAAACCTCACCTCCATGGACAATGAAGGAGAGATGAAATTTTATTAAGGAAACTCTGTCAAACTGCCCTCAAAGACTCCCTAAGACCTCATTAGTTCAAGCCAACCATTTTCCCCCACTGAGCTTCACTGTGGAAGCTCAATTTTGAGCTTGAATTTTTGGCAAAAACCAAGACAGATCTCTCCACACCTCCACAGTGAATCAAACTTCAATTAACTGTGCACACACCTTTCCCACAGTGAAACAAGTTGATTCCCCACAAATCCTCTCAAACAACCTCTAGTATAGACTTCAATCATCACCTGAAATTGAGCTTGGTTGAATTCATACCTAGACCATTCACCAGGGCACAAGGCTTCATCTTAAGGTTTGTTGGGACCAATCGAAGCTACCACAACCATCTGATTGAAGCCTCCTCTCTCAGACAAAGGTATGAACTCCAACCCTAATCCGAGACTATTTTCACTCTCAATATGTATTTACTGTATTTCATACCGTATAATCCATATAGATAGGTTCGTTTTAAGTAGATGAAGCTCTAGGAGCAAACCCCATGAGATTTGGTTGAGTATAGAGAGAGATCTTAAGGTTTGAGTGTGGATGGTTCTCGGGTTGGCCTATTTGGGGACGATGACTAGGAGCCGTCCGATCGCACATTTATCTCATAAACGGATGAGATCTAATCGGATGAACTCTTAATAATTGAACCGCGAGCCGCATGGCATGTCGGAGTGGAAAGCACAGTGAATGTGAGCACGCCGAGTCGCCATTCGGAGCTGCCTAGGATGAGGTGGCGCTGCGGGTTTGAACAAAAAAATAGGGATTTAAACAATTCAGAAAAAGCTCCCTAAATATAAAAATTCATATCTTGGTGTAGAAAAATCACAAAAATAAAATAAAAATATCTTAGTGCTTAGTGAACGGAGGAGAATAATGTGGAAATGGTTTGAAGTTTATTTAATGTATATTTTATTTTTAATTAATTAAACGCTATTTTGAGTCTTTTGATTCTCCATGCATGTAGACATTTTACCAAGGCTTGAAATTTTGGCATGTTGTTGCCTCTATCTTAAGAAACATCCTTTGATTTTTCCAAAGTCAGAGGAGATCTCTAGATAGAGATCAATATTTTTCAAGTTTATGTCTATTATTTACATATATTAACCATAATAATTAGCATGTTGCTTAAAAAATTCTAGGGTAATTTTGGAAGGTTTATTATAGCTAGAGAAACCTTTCGAAAATGTTTCGTGATCTAAGTCATTGAGAATTCACCTAATGTGCACAAACTCTAAAATATAAAGAAAGTAAGATATAAAGAAAATTAATTTGGGAAACACAAACATCTAAATGACTTGATTTTTATTCTCTACTTTAATTTGAAGTTCAGAGAACTCCCCATAAAAATTTCAAAATATTTGGAATTCATTTGATAACTCAAAATAATTTTCTAAGTTAAATGTCATTTCTAAGACTAAAATGATTTTTAACAATTAAAATATAACTCAAAAAATTATAAAAATTAGTTTTTGAAGTTCTATGTGATTAGAGGGATTTTCTAAAAAAACATTTGTAATTAAAATAAAAATTGTTAAAATAAAAATTCCATTTTCAAGCCCTCTTTAATATTTAAATAATTAAGAAAATGATAAAAAACAAAAAAATAATAAACTTCATGGAAATTTTCTAAATTGTTTCCTAAGCACTTAAGAACAATTAGAATATTTTTCTTGATTTTCTAAGTGAAGGTATTGAATTATGAAGCTTAAAATAATTTTTAAAGGCTAAAAATGGATTTTCATTAAAATAAAATGATTCTCTAGTCTAAGTCTACCTCCAGTAAAAATTTCAAATG